AGATGGTCAACGCGTTAAGTCTGCGATCGTGGAAGTTAAGCAACTTTCGCAATGGTCGGTCATTGGATGGGTGACCAAAACCTTATTATCTCGAGTTGAGTCGGTCACGGTCCAATCTCCTTATTCCATCCATAGGGAAGGCCTGTGCCCCAGCAGTGGGGATCTAGCATTTGTACTCCAGTCATGGATGTGTAATATGTATTTCTATAAAAATATACTTATACATGTACAGTATATGTATTCTATCCTAGTATCGCTTAACACAAGCCTTACAGTGCTTACTTTGGAGCTAGGCTAATTGGTGTGTTGGATTTTTTTTATCAAAGACTTTAAATCCTATCTATGTTATAGTAACGCAAAGTTTCACTAGATAGGTGTCTACAGAGTTTATCCTTTAAAATCTGCTTAGTTAGTTAAGAGAAGTTTAAATAACGAACAAGGACATTAAACTTATCCAGTTAATTTACTTAACACTTGGTTCCAGAGAAGCTCTTTAGATTTTAAAGGCTTCTTTGGAATAGTGGTGGGCGTATTTTCCGCTGTTATTGAAGCGCCCGGTCTGGGGAAGTTTTCTTCGACATTCAGAGGACTGCAATGAAATTACACATCTTTGTAGTGCTTTGTTCGGTTCCACGGAAATCCACGTGGTAGGGGAGTTGAATTGAAAGAAAAATCCTTTTCGATAGATCACTCGACTATATTTAGAAACAGATTATAATTTCACCACCTTCAATGCCTTACACAATCTTGGTATGTCTCTTGTTTAATTAACTAATTAAACTTTATAACATAAATAGAGACCGCCCTTGCTTCGTTTCGGTGAAGAATATAGTTTGTGTTCTCGGACTTATAAACTTTTCATTTGAATCTTATACGGCAGTGCGAGACGGAAGCGCAAGCGAATGGTTCCGTTTTATCGCAGGATACTTTTAGGTTCCTGTGGGATTCTCTAAAACCAAAGTTAACGCGGACAAAGCCGCCGGCAGCGCTAGTAAAAACTAAAGGCATTAATCTAAATAAGGATGGGGTATTTGGCGTCGATAAAACTTAACTGAACAGCCGTACATAGCAAATCACGTCGTGGCCCAGTAGTTTTTAGAACTTGTGCGCTTTAAAACTGGGAGTGTACGGATGTCATTTGCATCAACATTCGTATTAAAAATAGTAAATATTAAAATTATAAAACCCGATGGCGAAAAATGTGTGAAATTATATGTTATATTTTATTACATTTTTGAGAAAGTTGAGGCCCTTGACCCTGGTTGTAAGGTCCTAATAAATCAATCGTTTAGACCACCGCAAGGTACTTGAATAATCCCCGCGATATTAACTTCCTTACTGAAGTGACAATACTGCGGCATTATACCGTCTTATAATCCTAACTAAAATGTGTGAAATCAAATAGGTATATTTAAAAAATCAAAACCCGACTGTCTAAATATTACTTCAAATAAAAACTGAAAAGAAAAAATTAAATCTTGTAGTCTATTATTCTGTTAAGTAAGGAAAAAAACTACTTTAACAGTCGGGACCCATTACTGAAAAATTTTGATACATTCTTGAATATCTAATGGGTCCCGATTGTTAAAGTAGCTTTGTTCCTTACTTAACAGAATTATTGACTACAGGACTACAGTACTTGTTTCTCTTTGAAATAATATTTAAGCAGTCGGGTTTTTTGTTTTTTTTTAATTAGGGTACCTACTTTTTATAACATGGTATGGTAATATTAAATAACTACCCATATTTATTTCTTGAATCGGCCGGGTCAGCTTTTGATGCACCTTTGTATATTTATGTGGGTTCCACATCGGTGTCAGTATTGGTTCACGGACGAACCTTCCGTTTATTTCTCCTGTAATCGACTAACTTTGAGCTTTCTCTAACCCTCGATCTATAAATTTCAGACAAACTCTGACACTTGTAATAACTTCATGAGTTGGTGTTGGTTGGCACTTAAAGGGGCACAATGGGTCCAAGGTGAATAACGATACCATTGGATAATTATTGACGAGATGGCTGTATATTCAGGGTAACTTTTTCCCACAATAGTGGAATAGATTTTTTTTTGGAATAGGGATGTTCACGCGGTAATTTTTGCCCTACCATGTTTCATTTTTTTGCCCTACCTGTAACATTGGTTACAGGTAGGGCAAAAGTAAAAAAATATCATAACTGATCTGCCCTCGGAGCACGGGCCTCCTAAATCAATCGCCATGTATTGACCAATGAGTAAGCTAACTCGATATATTTCTTGCCAAACACTACAAGAAACATTAGAATGCGTCATACCGACATTCTAATGTATAAAACAAGACTAATTAAACTTAAGACTAGGCTCTATGGGCATTGTTCCCTTTGCTTTCCCTGAAGAAAGAGAATGTTAAAAAAAAGTATTGCTATATCCTAATCGATTAAACATTTATTTTAGACATGGGCGTTTTTGGTTTTGAATGCAAACGGATATTTATCGGATTTCAGATTTCAAAATCGATTTTAAAATCCGTTTTTAGATATCCGATTTCAGATGTGCCGAACTAAGCCAATTCACTAGTTTGTGTTATGATTTGGTTTTATTAGCTAACGACAATCACAAACAATTATTGTAGGAAGCAAGGATACTCGTAGATTTCCTTCACGCTTTAAATCTAGGCTTAGGACTAGCAGAAAAGTTATGATTACGGTTAAGAGTAAAACTTTTGCGGCGCATTTAAAAATCGGCTTATATACAATGATTTCTTTTTACATATTTTTTTAGTATTTTTTTTTTGTTTGTTTTTATTATTTTGCAAACCATTTACAAAATTAAACCTTATTACTTCAGGTTAGCGTTGTAAAATGTAAGTTGCTCGACTTTTGATGTTCTTAGACGGCATCTCTTTTCAGTGATAAATAATCCCGTCTTAGAGAAGCGCAATAGATTTCCGTAAACAGCAAACCGAAAACGGACTTCCGAAAACGAAAGCACGGATTTCGAATCCGATTTAAATTTGGATACTATGGTGGTATTAGATCGCTAGCGTTTTGGTTCGGTTAGATTTCTGAAATCGGATTTTCTTGTTGAGAAATCGTTCGGTATCGATTTGTGATTCAAATCGGATTTTGGATTCGTTTTGATATATCGGACGCATGCCTAATTTATTTTATAGGGTTTTTGGCGGGATTTCATCGAGTGCGGTTGGCGTCTTATTCTAATTATTCTTTTTGTTCATAGTGGATATTGTGAAATAAAATTGGTGTGATTTTGTGTTACAACCGTCTGCGCAACTGAAGAATTAGTAGAATCTTTAAAATATACGCTATTCCGGTCAAGTGGACGTGAGAACTTTATTGTAGTATTGACTACCTCACAGAAGCTTATCGAAAAAGCCAACTTGATATATTTCGCGCAGAATGCGTCACACCTACATTCTAATGTAAAAAAAAGTAAGATTAATACAAAAATAAGACGATGGCTGCTTGGCTTTGCCTTTGCCTTTCTCAATAGAGAAGAATAGAACCAAAAATAGCTAATTTTACAAATAGCCGAACCTGAAAATATGCATAAATAGACGTGTGTGTACAAGTTTGATGGGTGGAAATTCCTTTAAAACATGGATGAGTTTTTTTTAGCAGAATTATTGTAAATAGCCATGACTCAGTTACAAATGCTCGTATTCATCATACAAACTTGCCCATTACACCGGTACTACTGCGATTTGAATTCAGAAACACAGAGACAGCAACACATAAAAAAGTAAAACGGATTTTTAAGCTGTAATAATTCAAAAAACTAAATACATTTAAATAAACATAATGTTACATGCAATTAAAATTTAATATTCTGCCCCAAAGTATGAAAATATTGTCAGTGTATAAATTTTTTACCCGACTGCGCAATGCAAGAGCGCGAAGCGCGACGCGCAGACAGGGTATAGTCTATGATGTCTATTCTATCCGTTGTGTTGAAGAAGTTGTTTTGATTTTTCCACCTTAATCATTTTTAAATTATCAGCTAAAAATTACCAATGCGTCTCATGTAGACTGCAAGTTTTAACTCATATTTTAAAATGCCCAACACGGTTCTAGGTGCCATATTCATTTATGGACGTAAAATATTTTGTTTTTGGACAAGATAACTTCAAATTTTCCCTTCGCTGCTTCTATCGCCTTTTTCATATGGATACTGCGTGGATGGCCATATTTTCTTCTGTCACAAACAGAAGAGGTTTCTTTGCATATATCAATAGCCCGGTACACAAACATTCGATAATACCAAGCGAATGAAGATTCTAGAAAATTGTATTTAGCTCCATATCTATTTTATGTAATGCTATCACAGCAATTCGGTTCTCATTATCTCCCCACTCCATGTTAATAAAAGAAAATGTTTAACAATGATTGGCGCGAAAATGAGAAAACAGTGATATCGATACAGGTTACAGGCATGATTCTCTAATGCTAAACTTAAATTTGACAACAGTGTATCTTTGTCATTTTCTATACAGAATGAAAAGGACAGACTAATGTTAAATTTAGTTTTAAGTTTAGAGAATCCTGCCAGAATCGACACCACTATTAATATTCCGAATTCAAATGTAATTTATGTATTTCTAAGGCGGGACTAAGTATTTTCCGGCATGTTTCCTTTACAGTTAGGAGCAATAATGGCTACACTAGCTTCTGTCCGTAACTGCGTTTGCGGTTTTTGCGTAAATGATCGAAAAATATATAATTATTCATTCTTTGGTCGACAAGTATTAAATTATAAACATTGACATAGGCATAGTTAGTAAGCCCAAAATTAGAACCAAAATTAAAACATTACCTAATTTACAATATATGACAAATTAATTTAAAATCGATTTTCGTGTACGAGCGCTCCTCCCTACTACTGTCATTGAGACGTTTGATTTGACATTTTTTCATAGTCATCGCGTCGTCTGTTTAAGTTTCACCGACTTACCGAATATAATTTTGTGTAAATACGATATAATCAAATTTTATAGTTGTTATTCGAAATGGTAAGCCCGTATTTTTATAATAACTAGTATTATTGATGGCAAACATCTGATCAGGTAACAGTACTTTGTAAATATTTTGCAAAGTCATTCCGAAGTATGTGTTAGGTTTTCGTTTGTTAGGCATTTCAACTACATACTAACTTGTAAGGTATTTACATATCTGTTTTTATGTTACGGTCACTTTCCAACCTTAATTACAGTCATAACTTAATTTTTTAATATTCATTACATAACCTCAAAACAACTTTGCAAGTCATTTGATTTTTTTAAAATTTAATTTACAGTTTAGGAACCAGTACGATAGTGATGTGACAGTATGGAGTCCGCAAGGCCGCCTGCATCAAGTCGAATATGCTATGGAAGCTGTGAAACTTGGATCGGCCACTGTAGGCCTTAAAAATAAAGAGTTTGCTGTGCTCATTGCCCTGAAGAGAGCTGTTAGTGAACTGTCGGCTTATCAAAAGAAGATTATCCCTATTGATGAGCACTTAGGTATCTCCATATCTGGATTGACTGCAGATGCTCGCATGTTGAGGTTAGTTTATGTTTAAAGTTGTCACACATAAGATAGACTTAATAGCCTTATTTTTTACAATGGAAACAGTTTTTTATTAATCTCAACTACTCAATATGCAATTTTCCAGCTAATTAAAGAGTATGGATTATAAGAACTTGTATATTTGATTGATTTAAACATCAAGCAGTTACATGCTTAAAAAATAAAAATTATAACTAAAATTGCTATCTCTTCTTTCATATATTTAATACTTGTGTATTTGACATTGTGGGCTGCCTATAATGCAAAGAGATGGCGCTGCCTTGCAACTTAAGAATGGCTAGTAGAATTCCGATGTGGCCATCAGGGCCACGGTAGCATAATTGATCAGTGCATTCACCCGGATAGCAAAGGATGCGGGTTCGAGTCCCGTCTGCTGCCTGGTCCGAGTGGAATTATTTCTAGTTATATTTTCTTTAGATTATTATTTATTTAATCTTTCATGGTCACTAACATTATATGAGAAGGTGTTTAAGAAAGCCAGTTTTCTGTGTTTATTGATAGTTGTTCTTTAGAAGATGTCTGGGAAATCATAATAAACTAGAATCTGAAAAATGTATTATTTACTGTTTCTGTGTCAATTTGATTGAACAAATTCCTAATGGAATTTTGGGAGAAACATATAAAAAAAATTAGCCTTTATTTTCTTACCAAACTTAACTAGTTACTTAGTTATAGATATAACTCTTATTCGCTGACATTGGCACCTGTACTGTCAGGTTGTCTGAAGACAGTGGTCTCCTCCTGTTTAGCTCTTTCTGTCCTGCCCCTGGCTGTTTTATGACAGGTTTTCCTCCTCCCGCTTCACTTGTCAAAAGAGAGAGTATTTACAATCCATTGCACAGTGACAAGGCGGTTCCGGGTGACTTTAATGAGCTGTGACCTTAAATTTCAGTTATTTAGTTATGTTTTTCTGACCCTCTGTCAATGATATAGTATGAAATTATGTACCTTGTTTTATTTTTCCAGTCGTTTTATGAGAACTGAATGCCTTAACCACAAGTATGCTCACGATGCGCCAATGCCTGTGGGCCGACTTATAGGGCTTGTTGGCAACAAGATGCAGATCTGCACTCAAAGATATGACAAGAGACCACTTGGTGTCGGCTTGCTTGTAGCTGGTTATGATGTGAGTGCTTATCTTATTTCTGAAAATGTATAGGTAATTATTTCAAATAGTGGTTGAATATAACTTTAATTCTTAAATAATTTTTAGTTAACACACAAATACACATATGTGCATTATACAGTTAAGACTTAAATTGGTCTATCAAGTATAATGTACTTCAATAGTTTGAGTTTTTGTAATTGGCAGTGTAGGATCACTTAGAGTATGCCCACTGTCCCACTATTAGAAGAACAAGGACTACAAGAACATATAGTAAATAAGTTAATATTTATTTACTGAAGATTCACAGCTATATTTGATTTCTAACTATTGTTAACAGGATCAAGGTCCTCACATCTACCAAACCTGCCCATCAGCTAACTTCTTTGACTGCCGAGCGATGGCCATCGGTGCTCGCTCTCAATCAGCTCGTACCTACTTGGAGAAACACTTGACGGAGTTTGCCGACTGCGAGCTCCAGGATTTAGTGGCTCATGGTCTCCGGGCGTTGAGAGATACCCTGCCTAATGAAGTGGATCTCAATAATAAGGTGTGTTTTATTTTATAATCTTTATATTACCTGATACCTTGCAATGGACATTGCTTCAACAAAGCTGATTTTTGCCGTAATCAATATGTCATTGTATGCTTGTATATAAAATATAATAATAAAAAGATCTGTAAAGGTCATCTGCGACCAACAGCATACATACAAAAAGAAAAATAGGACTGCTTTTATTATTTAGACTGAATTAACAACTGTTGCTGACTGCAACTGCACAAGGCACAGGTTCTGCCTCACATGGAGTAATGTTGTTATCTTTGAACATCCCAGTACCAGTTTCTCCCTCTTGATTGAATCCAGCGCTGAGCGACTCGAATCGTCGACGACCAGAACCTTACTGATCAGCTTCTTCCCTAATTTGCTGGATTAATTCCAGCTGCTGCTTCTCGCCATAGTACAACGCGACAATATTTTCATCCCCATCATCTTGATGTGGGGCTATCCACAACCGTGCGAGTTTGTCGAAAATTTTAACCATGTTCAACAAAAATGTGGAATATATTGTCGCCAGCAGTGTTTCCGGACCACCCAAAAATTTAAAGAGAGCGTACCCTTTCCTTTAAAGGCCGTCATCGCATTTGCGATACTCCTGGTGTTGCAGATGCCTATAAGCGACGATGATCACTTACCATCCGGTGAGCTGTCTGCTCGTATGCTTTTATATTATTGCGGGTATATTATAAAAAAAACCGGCCAAGTGCGTGTCGGACTCGCGCACCGAGGGTTCAGTACAAACTCAATTTAATACCTCTACGCGTTCATGAGAAAAGAGGTAGTAAATTTAAAATTTACAAACATTTTTTTTATTATATGATGTAACTAAAAATTACGGTTTTCACAATTTTTCCTTTATCTGTACTATAAGACGTTACTTCGTACCAAATTTCAAGACTCTTTTTTGATTGCTTTGGCTTAGAAGTTTGATTTTTTCACAGCCCCAAAGGGCAGTAGACATGAGTATTAAATATGAATTTTATATATTTACAAAAATAGAAATAAGTTGTATCAATTATATGCTCTCAAAGCAACCTCATCTGATCCTAAGTTTATAGAATATGTCAAAAACTATTCAAAAACTTTTAAAAAGGTGTGTGCCATAGCGAAAGCTAAATTTTTATCAAAAAAAATTAGTCTATCAGATAATAAAATAAAGACAACTTGGAATATAATTAATAATGAAACTGGAAGAAATAAATTCAATGAACGCACATATTCTTTAAAAATTGACAACAAGATTATTCGGACAGATGATGCCGTTGCCAACACTTTTGAAAATTTCTTTTCTAGTGCACCGTTTGAATCAACTAGAAATCTTAATTCTTGTTCTAGGTTAGCAATGACCCTCCTTGAGTCAAGTGTTGATAAGTGCAGTAATGATTTTTATTTTAGACATTTCAGTAGTGATTGTATTATATAAACATTTAATTCTATTAATATTAAAAAGACAGAGGATTTATGGGGAATATCAACATATATAATAAAACCGATTATCACTGTCATTGCGCCACAACTGGCCATTATATTTAACAAATGTATTGATGAGGGAGTGTTTCCAGATCTAATGAAATGTGCTAAAGTTATCCCTCTTTTTAAGGCTGGTGATAAATCAGAATCCAGCAATTTTAGGCCTATATCTGTATTACCAGCGCTAAGTAAAGTATTTGAGAAAATAATTTATAACCAATTACTAGCACACTTTTCTATAAATAAGCTACTTCATTTAAAACAGTTTGGTTTCACTAGAGGCAAAAGTACTACTGATGCTGGAACTGCACTTCTCAAACATATTTTTGATATATGGGAGAGTAAGCACGATGCTATTGGCATTTTTTGCGATTTATCTAAGGCGTTTGACTGCGTTAGCCATGAAACATTGTTAAATAAAATGAAGCATTATGGTGTATCAAATATTTCACTAAGTCTGATACAGTCTTATCTTTCTGCTAGGATTCAGAAAGTAGTTATAAATGAAGCTGAGTCAATATTGGGCCCATTGCTTTTCCTTATTTATATTAATGCCCTTCCTCACTTTACAAGAGATTTGTGTGAGACAGTACTATTTGCTGATGACACCTCTTTAGTGTTTAAAGCTAGGAGAGGAAATGATTGTTATGACGAAGTAAATTGTGCTCTCTCTGAAGTCCTTCACTGGTTTACGGTAAATAATTTAAAACTAAACTCTAGCAAAACAAAATGTGTTAAGTTTACTTTACCTAATGTGAGGCAGGTTAATACTAGTTTAAAAATAAATGACCAGCCTGTAGAGTAAGTGGATTCTACAAAGTTTCTGGGTATTACTTTAGACTCGCATCTGCAATGGGATCCTCATATTGATGCCTTATCAAGTAGACTGAGCTCTGCGGCCTTCGCTGTTAAAAAAATAAGACTCCTAACTGATGTGGAAACGGCAAGAATGGTTTACTTTGGTAACTTTCATAGCTTTATGTCATATGGCCTTCTGTTGTGGGGCTCGGCTGGTAATATAGAAAGTATTTTCGTACTGCAAAAGAGAGCTGTTCGCGCCATATATAATTTACAGGCAAGAGAATCTCTTAGAGAAAAATTTAAAGAAATTAATATTTTAACACTGGCATCGCAATACATCTATGAAAATATAATATATGTAAGAAGAAACTATGACGCATTTGCAAAAAAAAGTCAAACCCATAACTTTAACACGAGATTTAAGAACAAGCTTGCCGTTCCATGTTTCAGACTCCAAAAATCAAGAGGTTCATTTCTGGGATGTAGTATTGCATTGTTTAACAAAGTTCCCCAAGATCTGATTGAGCTTCCACTAACCAAATTTAAATCTCAGATTAAGAATACTCTTATGAATAAGGGCTATTATAAAGTTAATGATTATCTAAATGATCGTAATGCATGGACATAGTGTTTCTTGTAATTTCTTATTTGATGGGTATGAGTCAGTTTTGTAACAGTAGTATGGTACCTATCTAATGCCGCTTCCTATATATACTAAATATAAAATTTGTTGTAACTATATATCTATACCCTAAATAATGTAATGGAAGGTGACTTCAGAAGTATGTCTGAAGTCATTTTTCAACTTGACGACTCTGTATATATCAATACAGGGAGAAAAAAGCAGCCCTTGCTGAGTTTCTTGACGGTTCTTCTCAGTACAAGGTCTCCCGCCGTAGTTTTGCGAACCGATAGCGTAGCTTCTGGACTTTCATAAGTGCTTGTAACAGCCTAGACTGAATAAATGACTTTTCATTTCATTTCAAAAAGAATTTCAGTTTGATACCTCCATGAGTTCCTGAGAAAAACGGTCTAAAAATAAAATAAAACCATAATAAGCTTTTTTTTACTCTAGAATATTGAAAATGGCTGTTAATCTTTCATCATAAAAGATCATATCCCCATTCCATCTATATGGAAAGCCTATGTGCCCTAGTATTAATAAAAATCATTTTCTCATTTCATCTGTAGGGACTTTATGCCTGTGCAATACAAAATAAAAACTCGCAAATTACCATGAAATTTTCATTACAGAATGTGTCCATAGCAATCGTAGGCCCCAAGACACCCCTGAAGATCTGTGAGGAAGCAGAATTGTCCCGGTTCCTAGCACTAGTGGAGGGGGAGGAGAGGCGGGGAGGTGCTTCCCTCGCGGTGGGGGATATTCTCCCCGACGACCAGCCTCCGCGGGACCGACCCGACAGACCCGACCGCCCGGAACCAATCCCGGCGGTTAGTATAGTACTATAATAAATGCTAGATTTAGAATCGATTATATTTCCATAGACTTCTAAGAGACTTGAGGAGCTCGATGGCGCAAGTGGTAAGCGCGTTCGGCTGCGATCGTTGAAGTAAAGCAACTTTCGCAGTGGTTGTTCATTGGATAGGTGACCAAAAAATGTACTATCTCGAGCTCCTCCGTGCTTCGGAAAGCACGTCAAGCCGTTGGTCCCGGCTGCATCTGCAGTCGACCTGCCAATCCGCACTGGGCCCGCGTGGTGGGTCATGGCCCAATCTCCCTATTCCATCCATAAGAAAGGCCTGTGCCCCATTAGTGGGGACATTAATAGGCTGATGATGATGATGATGAGGCTTATTAACGTCCTGGCGACTTCGTTGTCGTGAATGTTAGAAAATAATCCGTCCCGATTGACCGTAAGTATCATACAATGGTAATAAATATCCTAGATACACCAACACGACCAAATTCTTGCCCGAAACCTTATGGACAGGTTTCGGGCAAGAATTTGGTCGTGTTGGTGTATCTAGGATATTTATTACCATTGTATGATACTTACGGTCAATCGGGACGGATTATTTCACAGGTACATTGAACAATCCAAGGCGCTCCGTAAGATGATTGCGTAGTCAAAAACAATATAATGCATTATTTAAACATTGAAAGTCACCTTTAATGTATACTGTATAAGGCCTTAATTAAAACGCATGCGTCAAAGACTTTATGACGGTGCGGAAGAATATAGACCTTATTTGTTTGACTCTACGCGCAATTCTGAATATGCAGTTAGCAATATAGTGAGTATGGACCGCGAGGAAAAGAGACGGCTATATTACCGACCATGCATTTGAATATCACAAATATATTCTATTAAATCAGTTTATAGTAAGTATTAGAACAAAATTAACTTCAAATGCGTTAAATTAACAAACATTGATTAGTTACCTGTCGAAAAAACGACACTTTACATACTATAAGTATTTTTTTCGCATTTTTTCACGGAGCTCTGCGGCAACTTGACTTTTCGCCGGTCCGCGCGTGACTGTGTACCAAGAATTGCTTGAGTGGTGTTCAAGCACTTCTTGATTGGTACACATTCTGAGCGCACGTGGTGTATCTAGGTTATTTACTATCGTTGGTATCATAGGCTGTAGATATGTCATGTCATAGGCTCATAATGATAGCCTATTAATGTCCCCACTGCTGTGTCACAGGCCTTACCAGGAAAGAATACGGAGATAGGGCCGTGACCCACCACTCGGGTACTATTGGTTGGTGCTAACGACTGTAGATGCAGCCAGGAGCAACTTTTCTATATATTTGAGGAAGCAGAGAAGTGCTTCGGAAGGCACGTTAAGCCGTTGGTCCCGGCTGCATCTGCAGTCGTTAGCACACACCAATCCGCGTGGTGGGTCATGGCCCAATCTCCCAATTCCATTCATAGGAAAGGCTTGTGCCCCAGCAGTGGGGACATTGATGATGATGATGATGAGGAAGCAGAGATATACTGACCAAAGTAAAAGAGAAAAGTCCGACACAAGACATTCTGTCATACTCACACGTTACATAGATAAGCATGTGCGAGAGGGGCAGAATGTCTTACGTCGTTATTTGTGATTCGCTTTTTTATTGGGGCGAATTATACCTCCGTGGTGGAGCGGTAAGTACGTAAATTCAAGTGCTTTTATTTGGGATCAATTTCCTCGAAATGTGATTTGAACATTTGCATTAAAATAAGGTCTAAATCTTCAGGTAATAGGGAAGATGCAATATTTTTATTTTTGTTTTCATTTTAAAGAATTCCATGTAGAATAAACCACAGATATATCAAAAATTTAAAACATTATGATTTATCGAAAAAAATGCGGTATTAAATTGACAATTTAAATTTTCGCGCGAAAACGAACCTATGTTTGCGATGATGTCACTCCTGTCTGTCACTGATTGTATTTGTTCGTTGCTGGCTTTAAATTTTCATACTTTTGCATTTTTTATGCATTGCATTTTTTCTTATTTTTTCACACACGAATTTCGAAATATTTTTTTGAAAAATTTAAAATGGACTATCCATCAACATCATGTGATCATAACAATACCACTAATATTCCGAAAAAAGCCGTGTTGACTCATGTTTTGTGCCAATCTACTTCAACAAAGTTCCCAAATAAATTGTTTTTGACTGGAACTTCTGACCCAAAACTGAAAAAAAGTGGTTTCAAGCTGCGAAGAGAAATGACAATTATTCTCCAAAGACCATTATTCGATGCTGAGAAGATCCCTTAACGTAAGTCGGCGAATATACTTGTTATATGCTTAATTAATCTGCTTGTACGTAAAAACGCATTAGTATCCTACCTAATACTTACAAAACCTGTCTATAACATATTTTTAATTTTACAGTTGTAGAATGACGTCGAAAATTAGATAAAGTTTAAAATGTGTGGCACAATCTTCACATTGGCAGGACTGAACCAAGCTTTGCGTTTCATATAAAATAACTGTAACACGATAACCTTCTTTACGTACTTTATGCTCCGGAGAACTCGACCTTTTACTGTACATAATTCTCCATCCCTTTTAATTTGGACATAGTCGATTGCATTATCGCCGTAAGATTTGTAGAAGCCGCTGAATAAAATACGAAGTTTAACAACTACGATTTTTACATACCGTAGTAATTTAGTCCCTTTCATTTCTACACTTAAAAACTCTGCACTTTGGACAAAAAAAGTTATAACCATGTCAACGCTAACTTTTGGTAAATTCCTGGAGTCTGCTTTGATAAACGCAACTTCCATTTTTATTAAATGTAAAAAAACGCAATAAATATTCCCATAAAATAATATTTACTTTAACAACCATAACCTCAAAGAAGTTGTCATAACAGGAGTGACGTCACTAAACGCTGATTGGTGTTTTAAAATACGTTCCGTTTCAAGTATTTTTAATTCGTAATAATTGTTAAAAAACAACATTATGTAAAATAAAAACGTAGCAGTGGCATTTCTTTTATATTTTTTTAACATTTTAATCATAAAATTTTATTAAATATTATATATGCATCTTCCCTATTATTATACCGTTGATACGCCAAGTAACAATTTTGATTGAAATTCTTTGGTTGGTGTTTTATTTCTGTCGGGGAAGAAGAAAGGCTCCACGGTGTTGGGGATGGGGACCGACAAGCAACGCGTTAACAAAATACAGTATTTATATATTTGATGTGTAACATCTGTCCTCTCGCTTTCGTGCAATTTGTGGGAGTGATTACGTGAAGTCGGACGGAAGTGTGTAACAGGAAGTTGGGAAGCGCGCGTTATTTGATTTGATTTTAGAACAATGTTCTAATGGCTAATTCCTTTTGTAGTAGTTTTTATTTCTTTTTTTACTTATATAAGTTGAGGTTTCATATGTTACACATCATACGTGACTACTGTAAGACTCGCTCGTTTTTTTTCTAGGCATGTAACTGCTCGATGTTTAAAACTAAATAAAATATTACTAGAAAAAACCACTTGGACCAGGCTGCAGACCGCCTTGCAGCTTAAGAAAGGCTAGAAAGAATTCGACACGGCCATCGGGGCCGCGTTAGCATAATGGTCAGTGCATTCGTCCAAATAGGAAAGGGTTCGTTCGAGTCCCGCCTGCTGCCTGGTCCGCGTGTTTTTTTTCTAATATTTTAAAATACAGTATTGTTTGCGCGTTGTAAAATATTACAAGCGTCTTTTGCTTTATCGTGGCTTCTTACCATCAGCCAGGTCATATTAGCTAATCGCTACCCTTTTAACATAACAAAAATAGAAGACAAACTAATTGAGTCTGGATAGATAAGTGTGAGAGAGAGACAAAGCGATCGAGCAGCAAATAGCTCTCATTCCGTTTATCTAGCTAGTATGGCGTGCTTACAGGCATGTGACGTCACACGGCACTCACTAAAACGTCAAACAGTACAAATTAATGTCATTTCATCAGGATGTTTACAAGCAGGTGACGTCACTTTGGGCTCGGCCAATCCTAGGCGTTTTCGGTCACGTGACAATAGATTTTAAATAATTATGGTTTTAGTAATACATTATTTTCAAATTAGTGCGGGTTGGTGGGTGCTAGCGACTGCAGATGCAGCCGGGACCGACGCCTTTACGTAACTTCCGAAGCACAGAGAAGCTCGAGGTAGTAAATTTTTTGTCACCCTTCCGATGACCCACCACTGCGAAAGTTCAACATCATCATCAGCCTATTAATTTCCCCACTGTTGGGGCACAGGCCTTCCCTATGGATGGAATAGGGAGATTGGGCCATGACCCACCACGCGAGCCCAGTGCGGATTGCCGGGTGCTAACGACTGCAGATGCAGCCGGGACCAACAGCTTAACGTGCCTTCCGAAGCACGGAGGAACTCGAGATAGAAGATTTTGGTCACCCATCCAATGACCGACTACTGCGAAGGTTACTTAACTTCAACGATCGCAGCCGAACGCGCTAACCACTTGCGCCATCTAGCTCCTTAGTCTATAGTCACGCCTACATAACTAGAAGAAAACGCTTTTAGCTGATTAACAAGCGGGTTAATGTTTTAATTTCAGGTGGCAATGGACACGGAGTAGTTGCCGAGAGACTGCAAGGCGTTGCTGTGATGGAAGATAGTGTGATATGCGTTCGATCTGGTGATTTATCAAGTTTCAGACTATCAGCCTTCATAGTATCTTTCGTGCGGAAGGTACCTCCCCTTTTCATCAATTTCAAAGGCTTCCTTGGCCAGTGTTCTGTTTAATCTTTGCAATCGTGTAGATTATGTTATTCATTAACATTACACACTCATACAAATCATCCAGTCTTTGATTATAACTGTACTGTTAAATGGACTATTAAAAATTTCAACCTCCTTATCAATAAACAAGGAATAAGTTTAGACTAGTTACGCCGTGTTTTGTTCATGTCACACAAATTCCATTTGTCATTCAATAGACAGAGACAAAACATGGAGTAACTAATCCAAGCGTAGTCTTCGTTTATTAATAAGGGGGTAAATGTTGTAGTTTTGTTTATGTTTGAAAAGGCCTTGTCATGCATGTGGCCTCACAAATAAAATGCATATTAAACTTAAAATATCAATTGTCTAATCTTAATCTCATTTTCACGGTAAACAGAAATTGTCTTCATTTGCAATATCACACAATTTTATCATAATATTTTAACTAATATTTGTTGAAGCAACCATGTATAAGTAACAGTAGATAGCTTATAACATAAATTGTACTAATTTGAATTGAAGTAAAGTTTTTGTTTCCATTTAGCAGCCTAGTATGTTCTATTTAGCTTGAATTTCAGTGGGCAGACATTGACATGGCACATTTTGAGTTTATGGCTTGCCCTAAGTCTGAACCCTAATAATCGCTTTGTCGCTGGCTCACTTGTCTGCTCATATTAACATTAGAGCTGAATCGGAAAATTCAGTCTATATCTATGGTTAGAACCAAGCCTAACTTTAGTCTATGGTTTGCAATAATTTTGCTTATGATTTTAGAGTTTTGTTTTTATTCTTGTACATTGTCATACAATAAATGTATTTGAGGGATTTGTTGATTCGATAAGTGGGTAATCATATTTACTACGGTTGGGCTATACTGAACACTGGCCAAGGTAAAAAGAAATGGAACGATATAAACTTTTTATTATTTTATGTTATTTTCTTATATGTCCACAATAAAACACGTGTATCTTTATAATCGTTGTTTAATTTCTCTTATATGTATATTACCTAACAATATTGCATATAAATGTTATTTACTTACAGCTAAAGGAAGGCTTCAGATTGAAAATATCAGACTATAAAATTTCAATGTGAGTAAAGAATAACTTATGACGTATTATTACATTACTTTTGAGTACTTTTTACTTGTTTTTAACATTGTTCACTAAAAGTAGGGGCTCATTAGACACAATTGGTAATAAAAACTATATGCAGTAATACCGTTTAAACGCCATACATTTTCAGTTCCAAAAATTTAGTTCAGGATGGACAGGCATTATATACGAGCTTTTCCCGTAAAAATGTTTAATTCAATTAAAATTAACAGTCAAATAGTTGGCGCCCTAGTGTTTTTAAGTCGACAATTGCTCGAGGGCGTTTCGATAGTTTGAAAGAAACACATAAATAATTGAGATTGAGTGCAAAGAATTGTCGCCTCTAAAAACTTTAATTTCATATAGCATTTGTTTTTTTTTATTACAACACAATACAGAAGTGATATATGGTTTAAAGATGTAAATGGAATTTCGATTTTAACTTGTCTAGCCTAACTACTAAATAACATACTGTGGTTGGTGGTTTTTGTCATACATTTTTGGCATCTGACTCGAATAAAATTTATTATTATATTAATGAGACCTGGAAATTCTGGCATTGACTACAATCGATTATTGATTTTATTGATATTCAACAGTAAGTAATGTGATAAAGTCAAACAAATGAAGTTTCTTTAGTATAATAAGAACGCAACATGAAGTAAATTAAATCCCAATGACAAATTAAATAACATATTTTATATACAAGTCGCGGCACGTAACTCTAGCGCTGAACAAAACGCGGAGGGGATAGCTGCGCATGGGTACGACTGGAGAGCTAATCGGCGCAACGCACGCCCACCCGCGCGCCTCGTTTCCCCCCAGGACATCTTAATTTTTACTTCTGCGCAATAACGGTCAGCGCTAGAGTTTCATGCCGCGACTTATACCAACTTATTAGAATTGGTTTAAAAATATTTCTTTTTAATCTTCAAATAGACGATCAGAATCCTAAATTTTAGTTCAGTTTTTTTTAAATAACGTATTTCTATTAAAATTACGTTAAAGTTATAGTTTTTATGGAAACATGGAACATTTTGCACATGTTTTATTTTACAGAATTTTGAATTTTTAATCCAACTCAGCCAGAAAAAATCCAAGTCTTTGTGATAACTAACAGAATAACGATAAACGAAGTTTTCGCCATCGTTCGCTTAGCACCAATGTTATTGTCTAAATATCGATAACATTTATTTACAAATAAAATACAGGATAATTATGTGTATAATATCTAATATAATTCATATTTTGGAGTAAAATCACCTGTCCCGTAATTTGGTACCTACATAATGTTAAGGCAGCTATGAGTGTGCTTTTTGTATTATTTATTTTGAGTAGAAATTGTCATGGTAGATATAAATAACTTGAGTATTTTGAAATTTTAATTAATTTGACTTTAGAAGGATCATTTACTCTAAACAAAAGTGTAAGTACTAGCTATCTCTTTCACTCCTCCATGTAGGTAAATAAGATTATACAATCAATTGAAGTCCCTGTTGGTGTCGATTCTGGTAACATCAGGCTCGCCTTTTTAGTCTGAATAAAGAATGACAAGGAAACACTGTTGTTTTAGGTTTAGAGCATCGTGCCAGAATCGACTCCATTGTATACCTACTTTAAAAAGCATGCTCTGAGCTGATTGAATCTCGAATCTTGTTCTGTCCATACGCCGAGGAAAAAGGAAAAGAGATATAGTACTCAAATTCTTTTTATAGGAAATACAATAGTTCCAAGCACATCTCATCTTATTAAAAACAATTGGTAATTTGAAAGCACATCTTTGGGATGATAATATATTTAATAAAAGTTAATTATACGAGGGTGTCTAAAACGTAGGCAGGGCCTTGGCCGAACTGGCAGACACTGGCTTGGTCTAAAACAGGTACATAGTTATCTTGGAGTATAATCGGCTGCCGACTCGAAGCCTCATTCAATTGTCTCTCTAGCACGGCGTTCTGCAATTCCTCCTCTTCCAATTCTAAAGTTAATTCGTCCAACAGCTTCATTCTTACTTTCAGTTCTTTGTCAGCCTTCGCTAGCTCTATAGCGTTATCGTGCATCTCTTTTGCAGTCATTCCCAACTCTTCTTCTATCTTGTCTATAAGCATCGTGACTTGCGTGACGTTTTCGCAACTGTTCGCTTTGTTTTCATCCATATACCTTTTTACTTTCGCCGTGAGTCGGACAACCAATTCCTCTTCGCGGTGCAATCTCTTGTTTATGATTGCAAGTTTTTCTAGGAGTTCGATTTCGTCTCGTATCTTGGAGAGTTCGTCTGCGGACGCTTCGGAGTCTGTGTCGTTTTGGGTTTGCATCAGTCTGTCGGAGTTTACTTGGCAGATGTCTGTCAGTTCTTTCGTGAAATAGTGTTCTCTCATGAGATGTCTTTCCCTTCTGCTCTTGTGTTTCGTGTGTCTTCTGGGTGGAGTGCCGCTGCCTACTCCGACTCCACTATCGCTGTTTCCTGCTTGGCTGTCATTGACTTCGTTGCACCTGCCAAGGTCGCGAAGATATGACTCCAATAGGTAGTTGGTGCCATGTTTCTCCATTCGACTCTTGTGGGTCTGGTCTTCGAGGTGGTCTATCAGTTTCTCTTGTTCCCTGAAATAAATAAAAAATGTATTGTTAACATTACATACAACTTAATGGCGTTATAATTTTTTGCTTTAGAGCCTATGTTTTTTACTTATTTAATTTGTACCTATATGGATCTACGTATCTCAAAAGTTATTGTTATTTGCGTTGTAGTATTATAATCTTTTATAATTAATAATCTTACTATAGGAACCCAAAGTTGTTCTGATAGGTTGTTTTTTGGTAAAATGCATGATGTGTTTTTTTTAAATAGCTTCACTGATCTAAATTTTAACAATACTATAGCCATTTCCAAATACCTTAACTTATCCAGCTGCTGGTGTATAGTTCTGCTCTGATGTTGTATGACAGACACTAGTCTGGTGGCAGGATCTTCGCTCTTAGCTCTAGGGGGCGGGGTGCTTGTTCTAAGGCCCCGCCTCCGTCGTCGTCTCGCGCCGCTTCGGCTGCCTCCGTCGCTGTCACGACCCGAGTCGTCCTCCCCACCGCTGGACACTCTACGGAGTGATAGTCGGACCTGGAAGGGGCAAGAAATGTTAAGTTTTAGAAGATTAATTATACACATCGTTATTAGCCTGCTAAAACACCAAGCGCTTTGTTAAAGTTACTACGAGATAGCAAGTAGCTAAGGACGGCTTTAGTCATTATCGAAGTAATTCCCTTTAGTTACCGTTATTTAATTTATATAAAAGTCCGAATAAATTAATGAGTCCACCCTACCTGATGTTAAGTGACCGTGGAGTCCGTGCATGAGAATGTCTCGACGTGCAACTAGCGACTTTAATGTCAAAAGTCTATACTCTTAACGATAAGTTTGAGTATGTGTTAATACACTGAGAATGTCGGGATTTTGCTACTTTATTTTTTATCCCCCTAATCTTAAATACTTCTAGCCGAACTTAAAATAAAAATGTTTCATGAAATCACGCGTTATCTCATTCTATGGTCGCAAAGAAAGTGACTAAGAAATCCACAGTAAAACTATCATTTTTCTGGGATCAGAAGTTACTGGGATTTAGGTTAAGACCTATGATACTACTGATAGGTGATAAACTATAGTTTGCGAAATTTCATTCAAATCCGTTCAACCGTTTTTGCGTGATTGAGTAACAAACTTTCACATTTATAATATTAGTAGGTTGGATTATGGAATCCTTGCGTCTTACCATGCTGCTCGTAAATCTAACATGACAATTTTACTAGAAAAAAAACCACGCAGGCCAGGCAGCAGATAGGACAAGGTCTAGCAGTTAAATGCTTAAAAAATAAAAATTTAACTATGACACCTCTATCTTAAAGATTATTTAAATCAATAGACTTACCTCGTGCCTGGCGTCTCCCCAAGCTGCCAACACGTGCAGTACAGGCGCATCAGGCGGGAGAGGCCGTTCTACTCCTCGCCACCGCTCCGCCAACACCCATTCACCGTGCTCGCATAGCCCACTGCCCCCTGTGGATAGAAAACGCTTTGATCGTACCCCCTATTGATGTGTGAATATTAGAAATTAATGAAGGTTTCAAGGGGGTTAAGTTGAGTCAAATCCCATGCGCGGCTGCATTATACCATATTTCGTTTACTGAGCTGCGACTTGCGCTAACTTCACAGCCGCTATTTAGGCTGAATCACACTTTATAATGTACGTTCATGTGCGTCCTTTAAATCACGCTGAATGCCAGTGAAAGAGTATGAGTTCATAATAAGCAGGTTCCAATTAAGCGATATCCCACGCGCGCTTACTTCACCCTCATCATCATTAACTGATGGACGTCAACTGCTGGACAGGCCATATCAAGCGATTTCCACACACAACAGTCTGGAGTTTCTCGAATTCAGTAGGTTTCGGTCTCGCTTGATATCGTCAGTCTCCCTGGTGAGAAGTCGACCTACACTGCGCTTCCCGGGGCGAGGTCGTCATTGAAACAACGTCCAATGGTCCTCCTTATTATGTGCCCCGCCCATTGTCACTTCAGCTTGGCGATCCCTTCAGTAATGTCGGCTATTCAATTTTTCTACGGGTTTCCTTATTCCATATTCGACTACGTAGAGAAACACCGAGCATATCTCTCCATCGGCCGTTGTGCGACTCTGAGTCTTTTTATGAAGTCCCGACAACGAAGACTACCAAACGCAGGTTTCAGTTGATCGTCATCATCATCGACAGCTGGACATAGGCCATGTCTACGAATTTCGACACGCAACGGTCCTGCGTTTTCGGCATCTAGTGATTCCCCCTACTCGCTTGATGTCGTCAGTCCCCCTGGTGAGGAGTCGAACTACACACGCTTCTCGGTGCGAAGTCGATATTGAAAGAACGTCCATTGATCCGCCGAAGTAAGTGCTCCTCTCATTGTTACTTCAGCTTGGTTATCCATTGAGCTTCATAGCTCAAAGGGTAACCAAGCTCAAAGAAACACGTAGTAGAACTAGAATACGGTTATTCTAATTCTACTACGCGTTTCTTAGCAGTGGCGGCGCTAGGCGTAGGCGACGTCGGCCACAGCCGACGGCCTCGCGCCTGAGGGGGCCTCGCAAAAAATTTTTACAAGTTACCTATTTATTTTCGTTTCTCCTGGCCTGGCGTAGGTAGCCGACCTCGAACAATTCGAGGAAAAAGCGAAGCAGATGATAATGACTTTTATTATTTTTTGAACGTGCGTGATGGAAGCGAGTAGTACTTTACGGGTATTCAGAATCGTCTGTCTGGCAACACTATTTTTGTAATTAAATTTCTATTTTTTATTTTTTTTTTGTCATCATTTGATTATCAACAATAAAACTCGTTTACTCATACGTTATTTTATAATTTGGCTCACTTAATTTAACGGTTTTTTACTGCGAAGTAAAATAGGCCTCGCGAACTTGATGTCGCCGACGTCCACATGTGGTCTAGCGCCGCCACTGTTTCTTAGTTCTCTTCGATGCTCGCTGTGCGACTGAGCATTTTTACGAAGCCCATTGTCAACGTCCCTACATCATTCTACATTTTTCTTTCTGCGCCGTGACTTGTGCTAACTTCACAGCCGTCATTTAGTTAGACTCGCACTATAGATACCTTCAGGTGCGTTCTGCAAAGCGCGCACGATGTCCGCGCAGGTAGTATGAGCTCGCACGCCGCGCACCCACAGCCTCTGCCCGCGAGCCAGCACGCCTACCTCCTCGTCGCTGTAGTCCGACGATGACGCCTCCATGCTCACTGGAACAAATAAAAAGCCGAACATGAAACGACTGAGACAACCATTCTAAGGGCGAGCAATGCAGTAGATCAGATTCGCCTACTAGGGACCAGGCCAGGCCTAGACAAGTGGCATTCTTTCTGCGGTCAAAGCATGAATTTTGACAGCAACCTAACGTATCGCATTGTCAAAGTTTCTATGAAAACTAAGCAGCGCCCCTACCGGGCGTAAGCGTAAGACAAACAACAAAATGGGTCCCTTCATACAATATTTGACGATGCCGATATCTTTGAAATTTATATCATCATGATCTGCCTTTTAATGTCCCCACTATTGAATGAATTGAGTGATTGGGAGTAGCGGTTTAACGTGGCCTTCGAAGCATAGAGAAATTTTAGGTCATCCAACCGATGACTGGTCATTCCGAAAGTGGATAATATGACGATATATTACTATTGCTCTGAAACAATTAAAAACACTCAACCTTAGTCGAAACTCTATTATTGTAATTAGTTAAACTTTCACGATTGCAGACCATAACCCCTTTATTAAAACACAAGGAATTAGCTTAGACTAGCTACGCCGTGTTTTGTTCCTGTCACTCAAATGCGATTTGTCATCCAATGAATAGAGACAAAACATGGAGTAACTAATCCAAGCTTATTGTTCGTTTATTTGTAAGGGTGTATGGGATTATCTGGCGTAGGATGATCTGATAAATCGATTATATTTCAAATATCTTAGGAATTTTGCGAAAACGCGGAGAATTAGACAATGGCGATGACATTGCTCCATATTACTATTAGCGACTTTTTTCTGGCTCTCAAATATGGCTCTCCATAGCCCATAGAGGCCTGCGATATCAAAGTCTGAATTGCATCGTTGCCTACCCTGACCTTAAATCTTACCCCGTGGAGACCTAGAAAACTTACTTAACAACAGAAAAACAAAATCACCAAAAGGTGGTATTATTTCACTGCGATTTCCTGTAAGGCGGATGTTACTTCCCAAGTCGGGAACTCAAAATGAAGTGGGAAAGCTACCTGACTTGAATATAACTTTATAGTTTTGAACATTATTTTAATACTCCTATTAAGTATTATTGTTGTTTGTATGTGTGTGTGTGTGTGTGTGTGTGTGAAAAACGCATAATAGCTAGTTTGAATTTTGGTGTTTTTTTATATAACCTGTAATGTAAAAATATAAACGCTCTGCGTTCATACACCAAATAAAATTTAATTATATAATTTGCGAAAAATATTCTTTCTGGTATAAAGTTTTTCCATCACATATTATTAAATTATTGTTTCAACATCACGTAGAATCAACGCAAATAATAAACTTAATATTTGTACTTTTGCAGCTTTTTATGTAATGTTAAAAAATTATTTGATTCTACAACAACAGAAGGCTTACAACAACGGTCACGGTTGTTAACTTAAGTGTCAAATATGAGGGCGATGATTAATTTGGGTTAATTGCGTCTGTACCTTAGGGCAATTCGGTAAAACGGGGGCGAAATATATCCTGACGCATCAAGGAAAAGAATTAAAGCTATTAATATCACGATGTTGCCGCCATAAATTTTATGTTTTTCGTTATTTCCATGTATTAAGGTTCTTCTAAATTCTGAATAAGTTGTTATTGGAAAATTATTATTTTTTTCAATCAAGAGTAGTAAATACTTTATTATCTAAGTCCTAATTTAAGTTCCGGTTTCATTTTATTTGATGCAGAGCTTTCTAGACTTTAACCGAAATAGTTTTCGTAAATCGTATTGGTAAAACTCACGTGTACCTAAGAATTAAAATGGACATGAGTTTTTACTACCTAAGAGAAGCCTAAGAGGGACAAAAAGCCTTGCCAACACCTTGAAAAACTTTGCTGACAACAATCTTAACTAAATAAAATAGCCTACATCGATAGCAGCCATCGGTTGGAATAAATTGTTTTGAACTATTTTAAATCTTCCAGTCTAAAGAAAATTTTACTAGAGACCACCCAGCAGAGGGACTCGAATACGAACCGCGACCTCCGTTATCCAGGCGGTACCCTGACCATTATGCTACCGCGGCCCTAATTGTACGTGTCGATTTTTCTCTAGCATTTCTAAGGCTGTAAGGCAGCCAGGGGCATCTTAACCATATGCGGCGCCCGGGTGCGAAAGCCAACAATGCGCCCCCTTTTTATACTGATGCATTCAGATGTTGATCGCCCGGCCCGACTGGCACCCCCTAGGGCCCGGCGCCTGGGTGCAGCCGCACCCAGCGCTCCTATGGAAAAGACGCACCTGAAGGGAGCGCCATCTCTTCGCATTATAGGTAACCCACAATGTCACAACACCTTATTCTACTAAGAATACTACGAATTTCAAAAGATTGCACCAACTTTCTTGCAAACGACTTAAAAACCTAATGAAAAAAAAGTATCGATTCGGCGAAGAAACAGTGCATCTACCCCTTTACCCGTCTCAACTTTACATTTCAGCACCCTCTATGCATACCATGCGGGTTGCGAGTTCAAACACGCCAAACCGGTTATTACCGGCACGTACCAGTATGTAACAGTTGGAAAATTGGCAAAATGGCGGACGCTGCGTAACGTTGGTAACGTAGTTAGTGGTTGAAGTTGAAATTACTAGGATTAATACTGTAGACAAGGAGATATTTCTTTTTAAAAATGCCTTTTAATTTACTTTCCTAAGCACTTGCTTTTCTTAAGCAGTTATGATTATAATTAATAAATAGACGCAAATAATCACAAACAAAAGATATGTTAAATTCTTGTATTAAACCACAGTACGACCCATATACCATTTTGATTTGTTCATCTATTGAGCAGTACCATTAGCACGAATCCATATCGACTCAAATAGTTTAATTCGATCACGATACGTATCAAATATCAAGAAATTTTGTATGGAAGATTTTTAATTCGTGTCACGTCCGTTGTGGCGCTGTTCAAATTTCCATACAAAACTTCTTTACATTTGACGCGTCTCGATATCGAATTTTAACTATTCGAATTCGAAATTGGTTCATACTAAAGACACAAGATGTTTCAGGACAGTCTGTGAGAATAAAATTTTCATATATTAATATTTAACATGAGTATAGTTTAATATAGGTAGTTCCTCAGTAAAACTTAAATTATTCCAGGTGATAACTTTATCGCGAAAGTAGGACAAACTGACAATTCGCATTGGTATACTAGCAAAATCCATTACTATATAATATAGCCTTCAGGATATGTTGCATAAGCTAATTAGATGTTTTTATTCTAATCGGTCCGACATCTGACATTATGTCATGCTTATATGACTGGCCGCCTATCGTGTGACTTTATAATTATACTATCAGGCAATTTGATTCTTGACCCACCATAGGTTTATTTACTCGCAACCGTTGCAAAAAATAAGTTAGAAATTCGCAGGTATCCCTGGATACAAAGTTGTTATTTTCAGAACAATCTTAATTATAATGACAGATTTTGTCGCTTCCCTCTTGGCGTCACATATTTATAGTTTGGATCATTGGTTTAGGATTTAACTATTCGTTTTCAAAATATTTGTAATGTCAAGAAATCAAAAGAGAAACTCTTTTCTCTGTTTTATTTTTACGATTTATTAATTTATTTTGAATCTGAAACTATAATTCCAATTTTATCTAAAATATGATCTACTGCATTGAAAACAAAAGTCAAATTTCAAAGATCTTCGATCCATATTAATAGGGTTTCTTTATTATAAGAGTAGTCTTAAGTGCAATTACTCATTCTTTTCATAAGAAGACTTTTCTAGTTTGGCATTTGTAAGCAAATTATCGGGCAAGTGGGACAGAAACCAATATGTTCGATAGAACTTATAAGTTATGCATTATGCAGTCAATTCTGACTAATGTGCAGTATAGAACGAAATACAAATTATCTCAATGGTGTAACTGCAAGCAAAGGTTAATCTGCATAATTCCTAGCGGCTACCTAACACTTTTTAATACTCGAATAGCGTGCGAACCAAAGCTTCTATGGCGACGATAATACAAAATAATAAATCCATACTGGAGTTTTAGTCTACAGCATTAACATAGTTCGTAATTTGAGTGTTGCTTTCGTGACTGCAGGCCATTAGGCGTTTCCTTCCCATTCCGGCCCCTTTTCACCCCTCCTTCACCCCCTTACCCGGTGGTCTTTACACCCCCTGGCATTTCGGCCACACCTATACAGAGTTGGTGATGGCGCCGCGTCGCATATACTTAAATATTTAAACACGATAACACTGATTTTACTCTAGACGGCGTAGGAACACAGATGGAATATGAACATTTGGAAATACATATGAGTTCCGAAAGGCGAAGGAAAACAGCAGTGCTATTCTGTAAAACTTTTACGCGCGGATCTGATGTGGATCCGCGCGGTTTTATATCGGTACCGCGCGGATCTATACCGGATCCGCAAGTGAATTTTTTACAGAATATCACTACAGATATGGTTTTCCGTTAAATGAGTAGACGATTGTAAAAAAATTGGCTTGTAATTCCAATTGGAGGTATAGCTTAATATTACTAATTACAAAGTTACTTTATTTTTCAATCTTTGACAGTACCGTAATAGTATCGTCAACGCCAAATTTTGTATGGAACCAGTTTTTTATTTTATTTATTCACCTATTTGTTATTTACATTATAAGTTGATGACGGGTTATGTTATGGTGTGATGTAGAGAATTCGATAGTTGGTAGAATAGGCCCATCAGAATCCGAGGCCGCGTCGAGATGCAGCCAGTGACGTCGTATGGGTGGGAAAGAGCGGAAGAGGAGAAGACGGTTTATTAAAAGTGAGAGGCGAAAGGAAGAAGAGAGGAAACGAAATAGAAAATAAATAAAAGGTACAAACGATGGGAGTAAGAGTGTATGAGATGAAGTTGAATCGGTCAAACCGCTTGCCTGAAGTAAATGAATGTTAGGCAACGGGCTTGATCGGTTAAAAATAAATAGTTCATACGTTTGGTGGGGCGCTGCTTAGAT